GTCTAGACGTACCGTTTATTCATGTTTCCTTATTTTTCTTTTAAATTCTTGTAACTACTTTTCCTCTTATCATCTTATTTTTTCTCGAGTAGTTCATAATAAATACGTATTATTAAGAATTTATTATGGAAAGGATCCTTGAGAAAAAAATTCGAAATATATTTCGATTCAGAAGCGTTTAGTCGTATTTGCGTTTACTGTAGCCGTGCTCTTGTAACCTATACTTTCTAATATATCCCGGAGAAAGCGTCGAGGAAACTTCTTCCGATGCATGGGTTTGGTAGTCGCGAAACCGGACTGTATATGATTCCAAATTATGAAATGAAGAGACAAAGAATACTATATGTGTTTTATTCCATTAAGTGCTTTCTTGCGTACCATTTTTAACATTTTTGTTCTTTCACATTAATTCCATTTGTGGATTCTACTTACTATTATTTTTACATGTTATGTTAAAATTATATTTATAATGATATAATATTTTCTTTCGTCTTTAATTAACGAATAATTAAAAGTTTTTAAACCGCAATTACTAGACGGATCAAAATGACTATAATTTCAGGTCTGTTGTGTTATATTTACTAATATTATAAGGTCATTAAAAATCATTCGGTAAATTAATTTATTTATATACTACGACAATGAAAATCACATAGAATTTGTAATAGCGGAGTCTTATCATTTTTAAAGGATATAGATTAATTTTACTGAATTCTGATCTGTAAAGCTACCTATTTTCTATAATTTTGTGTTGATTTCTAAAAAGGGAACTTGCTGCTGTTAAATCGGCGTTTACAAATGGCTGCATCATGTGTTACATCCACGTTAAATATTCCTCTTATATTGCATTAACGATTTGTTTCTCTTCGATATCGACGCCATAGAGGAATCGCCTGTCAAAGTTACCATTAACACTTTGACGATTATGCGCTCCGTGCAATTTTTCATCGCTGTCGCCGTTTTCTTTAAATTGTTTTACAATCTGTTCACAGGAAATTTGCCTATACTGCACCACGTAAAGTACGTTTATGTATCTGATATTGTAGTCCGACATTAAACACGTTATTAAACGTTCAATCTTTCGGTAGAAAAAAATAAAGCTTTTACAGACATCTGTTATACGAACATTGAAGGGTGCCGAAAAAAGTCAATAGAACAAAATAAATCTTGTGGGGAAAAGTACTTGGGTACTTAAGTTTTATATATACACTTAGCCCTCGATTTACACGGCATTCGAATTACAGGACTTCGGTTTAACACAGTTGAAGAAACGCTGAAAAACTTCCATTTATACGGCACTTGCATGTCTCTTTGGCATGGTCAGGTCAAACAAATGCAAAAAGTATATTAATTCTTTTTTTGCAATATTACAACCACCGAATGAATATTAACAGAACAGACTATTCTAAAAAAATCTTTAGTAAGAAGAAAGCTAAAAACAAAATACAGGTAGAAAGGAAAAGAATTGAAAGAAGATGTATTTATATGGTATGCAAAAGAAATCCTCATAAGGCAGAAAGAGTGATATTGGTAGTTTCTTGTAATATATTTTACGCTAAGTGAACTCGAATTGTACGATTTCAATCTAAACGGCATTTTCGAGGAACCAATCTACCGTGAAAATCGAGGGTTAGGTATATATATATATATATATACAAGGTGAGGCACTTAAAACCGGCCACCTGAATAACTTGGCAGCTATTGGTGTAGGAAAAAATGCATCAGGCCAAAATCATTTGGTATCAAGGGGTTGATCATCCAACGTTACTAGTTTTTTGATAGGTGGAGGCGTCAAGGAGATATGAAGGTCATCTCTGTTTTTTTAAATGGAACGGTATATTTTTTTACTTACATTCTGATGGAATATTTCAAGACGAACACAATGACCTATTGGACAGGTCGTTCGTGGTCTGGGTTAAGCCAATTAGGATGGAAAATAATTTAATAATTTATTTTATTATAATTTATTTAATAATTTAATCATAATAAGCCTGATTGAATGTTTATTTCCATTCAACGACCCATAACAAGAGATTATGAGATAAAGGTGAAGTAATATCAACAACCAGAGGCTCAAGGAAGTGTTCGACCATTTCCTCAAATAAAATTATTTTTTTTTCTATCATCATTTTTTCCTATCACCAGTAGCAGCCAAGTTATGCAGGTGGCTGGTTTTAAGTGCCTCACTCTGTGTATATTCAGTTGCGTTTCTGTTTACAACTGCATGAATTATTCTGCTTATGAACGAAATCTGTCCAAGCGTAAAGAGTTGCATCGAATTACTGCGGGTAGACGTGAATAAAATATTCAGGTAATCTTAATTTATTTATTTATCTAATTATACAGTTTCTAACCTTTCCGCCGAAGTTGTTTAGAACAATCTCTTATGTTCAGTACATCTATGCCTATCGGTGTTTCAAAATCGTCATCCCTGTGAAATAAATAAATCTGTGTATGAAAATAATAAGAAAGATATTAACAAGAAAAGAAATTATTTTACTGATAATGTTACATATATCTATACACGTATTTATACATATGAAGGATGAATAAAAGGAAATTCGACATTTAATGATAAGAACAAAACATAGTGTTGTCTCTTTTAATAGTTCTTCATAACTTTTGCGAACCTATAATTATTTATCCATTAATTAACCTCTAGATAGTTAATTAATAAACAGATTTAGACAAAACTTTTCATTTCATTTAGGGATAAATAATACATTTATTATTATTGTTTCTAGTTTCCATTTAGTTTTTAATGTTTGAAATGACTCTACTTCTGTGCACATTCTTATCTGTTCCATCATACACGTATTAGATGGTCAATGATAAGAAAAAATGCAGTTCCCATTTTACCTTTCATAATATTTCATTTAGCATATCTCGTTTAAAAGTTAGAATGCAATATTTTCTATTTTTTCTAAACAGTTTCACCAGTAGCTGTTTCAACGCGTTGATTTTTCGCTTAAATACATTACACTCACTTTTGGAACACAATAAAAATCTCATTTTCTTTTCCATCCATGTGTATTAAACTATTCTCGTTTTCGGTATGCATCTGTGTGTTGACAACTTATATTCGTCATTATATTGTTTTATCCTGGACATTTTTGAATACTCTTCGTTTATATTATTCATTTTTCTTAATATTAATATTTTGGTTAATACAAAAATATAATAAAAAATTAATGATTAACTATTGTCAATTTTGTTTACTTTTTTTCTTCAATTAATTTACATTAACTATAAATTAGTAATTATAATAAGAGAATATGTGAATCTTCTATCTGGTCGGTTGTGGTAAGCTTGATGATACATATAAAATTTAATTCGAATGTAATACAATACACAGTTCGGATTTTCAAATGTAAACGGTACAATAATCAGAAAGATCTTCCAAAGAAACATAAACATACGAAAATAACGAATTTTTAGGAAATGAAAAGAATATTACTGAATAAGAGAGTGCTCTCGTTTAATATTGCTGAGCAGTGATAAAGAAGGAAACATGCAATGTATATTCGATGAACTATTGAGTGTTTTCATAGATATATCGTTCTTTTAAAAAGTAAATGGTATAGTTTTGTGAATTTTTAATACCTAACCGTATTTTGTACACTAAATCATTGTTTCGAATAATTTTATTGAAACCTAATTACGCATAGTGCCTTGTTATACGCGGATACCTGTATTCGAAACGCGTATACGACTATAATCTTTCTCGCTACAATCCCTTATTTTATTAACACTGAAAGTACCGAACAGTTAAATTAAGTTTTTGAAATTTCTTTATAGAAACTCGA